GCTATAGCCAACTTAAAACTGTGGTTAACATCTCTTCAACTAAATTAATGAAAAATGTCAACAAGAGATCATTAGGCTCTATGTTAATGGAACGCTAAAAGGCATTAGGGTTTTAATAACTCAACAATGGATGACAGGTATCTTTGGGCATAAAAAAAGTTGGCAAAGAGATATTATTCATAAGACACCCTAATATGGTGGGTTCCCCAAAGGGAGTTTGGTGTGCTACTACCATTCTCCGGAAAAACTTCAGACTCTGCCAAACCCCAGCAAAACTCATTTATCTTGTCGTAGGAAGCACCAGAGCATGTACTTCCAGCTGACAAAGTGGCATTCTCTCACCACACACCGCTGCCTGAACTGGAATATCCTGCTCCCTCTGTGGGTCTCAATCAACAGAAAGACTGTAATGCTAGCACTCCTCATTAGGACTAACAGCTGTCTCCCCAGTCACACAGAGACACAAAACTGTTTTGCATAACAATCTGCTGAAATTTCACATTGGGGCTGGGTAGGAGGAGGTGGGGGCAGAAAATATGAGGCAGAAAATGCTGGACCATGAAATGGTGATGCAGAGTGCAGCTTGGAACAGCTTTGAAAAAAAATTAACACTGTGGTGTCCATTTCACTCACACAGCATGACATTTTAGACAGAGTTCAGAGCTTTTTTAAACACAGATACACGGATACATCTGTTATAAAAGGGCCAGCTTCCAGGAAGCAGTGCGTTTATTACATATAAAAATAGATGTTCTAACTTATATGTTTTATCTATTTATGTATCCAATTTGGAGCCTGCCAATCTTCCTCTAGGGTAGGGTACAATTAAAACATAAAACCATATAAATATTATATTCCAGTAGGAGGCAATTAAAACAAGAATAAAATATTTAAAGTTAAAAAGGGGGAGATTTTGGGGGGGACCTTGATTCATTTAATCATTCATTCCAATACATACATAGTATAGTATCAGAAATCATGAATGAATGCTTGGATTTTCCAATCAACAATAAATTCCCTTTAAAATATTATGAGCTTTTTCTATGGTGCAACATTTGCTGATGACAAACACTAGAAAATGTGTTATTCAGATACATGCAATATCTTTTTTTTAAAGAACAATATTATGTAACAATTGTAATACTGTTTTCAACACTCTCAAGACTCATTAGGAATTATAACATACATATTATACAGAGAATACCAGTATCCTGTATACAAAGTTAACTACTGGCGTCGCTTTAAGGGGATATAAAAAGCAAAACTATCACTAACAAAACTGAAGCACTACTAATTCAAGATGGTAGAGCGAAAAAATCAGTGTTTTTAAACAATTAAAAAAAAAGATCTGAATGGACATCAGTACTGATACTGGAATATTTAGAAAAGCTGGGAGCTTGCAAACATATGACAATATTCAGTATAGGAAAGATTTACTATATTTTCAGCAATATATTTTAATTCCAATTATTCCTTTTTGTTTTCTATTATTATCTATCATTTTAAGGTAGCTGTTTATTTCTCTCATCTGGAAGTCTTCATTAATTTGAGGTTGCATATAGACCTTTTTCAAAAAGAAGTGATTGAATCCAATCAAGTCATTATTTTTGCAAATTTAATTTCAGTTACTTGAAAGTTACAGAACGTTCTATGAAATAAAAATAGAAAATGAGGGCATCAATCTCATATCTTTGGATTAGAAATGAGTTTGGAAATATTTCCTTCCATTTGCAAATGAAATTCCCTGTTCACAAGCATCAAGGTCTGATTTCTACAAGTCCTGCCTCAGCATACTTCCTCTAAGGTCTTTTCTGAAATTATTATGATATGATATCTTTAATATATAATGATCTGCAATCTAACAAACACTGAATTATCCTTGGGTCTATTGATAATGACCACAATGTACTCAAGCCATTTTAAATCAAAAACAGTCATAAAAAAGGAGAAATAAAATTCTGCACCAGATAGAATGAAACTGCGAAAGAAATAGGCAGTGCCTGGGTTTAATCCTTCAGACATTCAAAGTAGGAACTTGAAGCAATTATAATGGTTTAAATGGATATTGGATAGACTGGTGGAAAACACAGCTACTAATAGCTTCCAGTTATTATAACCATAAATTCCACGATATCAGTTACCAGAAACATCGGTGAAGTAGCATTACTCACCCATGTCCTAATAGTGGTATAATCCCTGCCCATTAGTTAAATAGATATTTGGTCTCTTCCAGCATAGTTCTTTTGTTTTTGCACATAACTGTCCTTAATCTTTATATAAAATTCTTGACCTATCCAAGTCTCACCTTTCCATCCCTCTGACTAGATGCCATCCTCCTCTCTAAAATGCTTGCTGAAAATAATTGAAAAACTGATATGGAGTTAAGATAATCCTCAACTTACAACCATTCATTTATCGACAATTTCAAGTTCCAACAGCATTTTAAAAAATGACTTACAACCAATTTCTGCATTTACAACCATCATAGCATTCTCTAGGGTCACGTGATCAAAACTTGGGCACTTGGCACCTGGCATGTACTTATGATGGTTGCAGCGTCCCAGGGTCATGTGATCACCATTTCCCAGCTGGCTTTCCAACATGCAAAGTCAATGGAGGAAGCCAGGTTTGCTTAACTAACCACGTGATTCGCTTAACAATTGCAGTGATTTATTTTATAACTGTTGCAAAAAAAGCTATGACAATGGGTATGACACATTTAACAAACATCTTTCTTCACAACAGAAATTTTGGTCCGAATTGTAGTTGTAAGTCGAGGACTATCTCTAGGCCAACAGTCCATCCAGCAGAACACTGGCTATAGGTACGGGCTGTGGTGCTTATTTCCAAGCTCCCTGATGATGCTACAACTGAAGCTGACACCTCTGGTTGCAAAGCAATACTGTATCATTAAGCCTACACAACAGCTTTATTAAAGCAAATTAATTCTAAGCACTATGTATATTCAATTAATACCACATGGAAGTTCATTAACATCACCATCTGATATAAAGTCACTATACTCCACAGAAGAAAATGTGCTTATTTCTCCATGCTGTTTTTTTTCCTTTTCCTAGAAGACATAACTTTAAATCAACGCACTTGCAACTCCTACTGAAATATGCTCATAAAACTTTTTTAAAAAAACCTCAACAAACCCCATGATTAAGCATGGCATTCCTCACAGAGGCTGAACATAGAAAGAAATATTTCTCATTTTGAGTTTCAAAACAGGATTTAGGCGCCATCTGCTGGGGGACAAAATCAATGGCCCCAAAATTGTTTGTGGGTTTTACTACATTTCAGCTGTAAATTTCCAACTTGTGATTTAAAAATGTGCTGCCACATTCAGTAATATAAGTTCGGTGTCTTGGCAACTGACCACTTGTCCAAGGAAAGAACATGCAATTCTTTTTTTTTTTTACAGAACAGCAGCATTAAACAAACATCTAGAGATTCAATTGTCACTTTTTATGAGAATAGAGCATTAGTTGTATTATGTCTTCTACTATGTGAATGGTTTTTATAAAATCTTTTTCTATGGTGCTGGAGAAGACTCCTGCGAGTCCCTTGGACTGCAAGGCGTTCAAACCGGTCAGTCCTAGAAGAGATCAACCCCGACTGCTCTTTAGAAGGCCAGATCCTGAAGTTGAAACTCAAATACTTTGGCCACCTAATGAGAAGCCTAATGCTGGGAAAGATTGAGAGTAATAGAAGAATGGGACGACAGAGAATGAGGTGGCTGGATGGAGTCACTGAAGCAGTAGGTGAGAACTTAAATGGACTCCAGAAGATGGTAGAGGACAGGAAGACCTGGAGGAACATTGTCCATGGGGTCGCGATGGGTCGGACACGACTTCGCAATTAACAACAACAACAACAACTTGTTATCAAAGAGTATATCTTAATCCAGCCTTTCTAGACATATATTCTCTACAAATACAAGCAGTAGATTAATATGATTTCCTCTAGGTTTTTAAAATCAATAAGCATTCTTTGCCATTTAAAAGTAAGCTCCAAGATTTTTTTTAAAAAACTGCTTTACAGAATCAATGCTACAACTATCATCAGCAAATGCAGATTACAATGCAGTGCCAGAGACATTAAAAAGGGAAATCTATGTTCTTTGCCACATGTGAATGCCAATCAAGCTATTATTTGACCTTGAATTCTTTCCATAAAAAAATTAGAATATTCCCTGAGACTTCCTATGAGAAAAAAATAATAACTGAATAGGAGCTTCTGCGTTTGTTTCAAGCAAGAACTACTTGAACAAAAAATTTATTATTAGAAAAAGATTTCATAAAAACCATTCACATGTTCAGCTTCATGGCATTGCCAAAGATAACAGAATTAACATCAGCCCTTCAAGGTTTCTACCAATGGAAAGCAGCATACAAATAGATTATTACAGTAAAAAAGCAAACACACATTCTTGAGCTTTTTGATGCAAAACTGATTTAAGTATTAAACTATTAATTATATTAATGAATATCAAGTATTATATCTATAAAAGTACATTGTTAAGATATACAGAAGCAAACAGTAAGCAAATTCATGAATACAGAGTGATGAAAAAAAATGTACCAAAATATATAATAAAAAGATTACTCCACATGTAGAAGATAATGCTGAAACAGTCATAAGCAGCATATTCCATGATAAAACACAAAGCAACATTTAATCTGGATTCCTGTTTATTTAATATTATCTCCATTTCTCTCGGTTTTATTTGCTGATCAAAATTAATAAAATTGATCTATACACAGAAATATTTAAGAGGAAATAACTGAAAATGTATGCGACCTTTCATGTTTGAATTGGATGTAACTTACTTCTCTTCAGCATTTATTAAAGCTTTAATTAGGCTAGAAAGCCGGAAAAAGACGACTTAGATTAATTAAATTTAGCATGAAAAATTCAGATAGAAAACTTTTCTCATATCAGTAATCGAATACAATTGCCATATAAAAAAATTCTAGGACAAAACTGTCACTTACTCTGTATGGCCCTGAAAGACATTCACAGAGTGAATAGAAGGGTCTCTGAAATCCCACAAACGGAAGGTTGTATCACGCGATGAAGTTACAACGAGGCGCTGGGTGGGGTGGGTGCAACAGTGTGTAAGTTCTTGGTCATGTCCTAAAACCACAAAGCAAAACATTGTTACTTTGCAAAGGCCAGACCTACTCGCAAAAATTGGGGATGAAGAACATCAGAGAAACAATTACGTTTCGATGGTAACCAAAATGGTCTTGGCCAGTGATGGCGAACCTTTTAGAGAGCGAGTGCCCAAAATGAACCCAAAATGCACTTATGCATCGTCAGGTGCCAGGTGGGCGTGGCCCATTGGGTGGGTGTGGCCCATCGGATGGGCATGGTTGCGGTGGTAACAGCAGACTGGGTGGGACTAAAAAGTTCAATCAATCAATTCCAACTTTGCAAGATCTTTTTTTTCCCACGAGAAGTTGAAATTGACTGATTGATTGAACCTTTTTTTTTTTTTTTTGCACACGGCAGCAGAGGCCTAAAGCGAAAAGCTTTTATAAAACCCAGCTGAAGGCCTAGGACTGGGGCGATGGCGCGCTTGCTCATAGAGAGGGCTCTAAGTGCCGCCTCTGGCATCCGTGCCATAGGGTCACCACCACTGGTCTTGGCAAAACAAGTTTACCCAAGGTAGATTAAAATTCTGTCCAATCTTACTTATTCCCTATTGGAATGATATGGATTAAATTCCATATTTTATCTAAATTCAGCCATTTTAAAAATGCAAGGGAACAGACTTCTATCACTTTTGTACTGATATGACTTATGAACATGATGAACATGCCTTATTCTGTAAAACAAATTTTGAGTTCCTATATGAAAATGGTACTCCCAAGTAAACAAAATGTACCCATGATTAAACGAAAGCTCTCTAAACATGGTAGAGGCCATCTCTTCTTGCATGCTTTCAGAAACTCATAAAACAGCCTGCTATCTGAAGATATTTACATATTTGTGTCAATTACAGGAGCATTTTTGCATATTAGATCAGCTACTAAGTTTACCTGTATAACAAGAAAGCTTCAAACACTAATATTAAACAAGTTTCCAGTTCTATGCAGTTTAATTTGGGGCTGCTAAAACTACTGCTTATAAAATTATAGTTATTAGTTATAGCAACATATAACTATGTAATTTATAGCAAGTCTACTATAAAGTTTTATTTTAGGATTATAGAATAATAATGTTGCAACATCTGTAAATCAGTTAATCCATTTTTCTTTCAGGATCTCCAGTTGCAATCATATGATCTTCCAATAAACTATCAGAAAATGATAAACTTGTCACCAGCAGAAACACACTAGCTCTACCATGCCAAAACCTGAAAACAAGGAATAGTTTAGGATTAGAGCTATGGTTATGAAGCCTTCAAATATCTTAATCTGCATATATACTCCCCCCCCCCAGTCTCCAGATTTTTCCAATTATTCTAACTCATTTTTATGGAATAGAAATTGGTGGTACAGTCTCCATTGTTTTGAGGCAGGATGCTGGAAAACAGGAATATTTGGCTCTAGAACAGGTTAATCCTCTTTTTTTCTCCAAAAAGAAATTACATTTCCTATCCTGAAATGGAAAAAAAAAATCTGCTCTACAAGTTGCATTAATACCTTATCTGTCACATATCTCAACATTAAGTGTAATTGTTAGAGCAAAAGGTTACTAATCTCTGTTCTAAATGATACAGCTGAACTTCCAGCAACTGAAGAAGCACAACTAATAGTGAAAGATGCTGGAAATTGTAATTTAGCCACATCCATCCCTGATTTAGGATGTAGATGAATACTTGGGAAACTATATAATCTAAACAAGAAAACTCCCTGGATAACTCTACACCTTCAAAAAGCAAAAGCAATCCTAACAACTCCACTTCATCACCAATCCTCAGAAAACCAACTGCTAAGATAGATATTGCTAAAACTTGCTAAAAACATTTTTGAAACTGCTTGATTTAGAGCATGAATCAAAAACATCAACTTCCCTTGTTGGCATCAACTATTCTTTACTTCATTAATCCTAAAACAAAGTATAAAGTGAGCTGGAATTTCACTGTATTATTTTACTGACCCAAATTTTAGCAAGGACAATTACTCAGGATCTTTTTTAACCAAGCAGATATTTTTTTGCATTTTTACATCCAGTGAAGAGAAAGATTAGATTGCTCCCTATAATGATAAAGCCAGAGTGCAATAAGATTATGTAGCAACTACAGAGGGATAACTATATAACTATAAGAATTGAAAACAACACTACACAAAAATAATGGCAATTTTTATTCCTGCTTTCTAAGAAAAATTCATTCAAAAATATAAATTTACAATACATGTAAATAAAACAGTGAAGTTATCACTGCTATTTCATGTAGTCTCATAAAATACATAGGTACACATATACACACAAACATAAAAGAGAGTTTATATTCTTAGGGTTTCCTGGTAGTGCTCCGCAGAAGTGAAAACCAGATCTGACCCTGCTTAGCTTTCCAGCTTCAATAAAGGCAGCCCAATGCTACCACCTGCTGAGACTATACAAGGGAAGTTATTAAAACTTAAAGAAAAGAAATACCTAATAAATATGTAAAGCCTTGAAAATATAGTATTTTTCTCTTTGAAGTTTTCTTGTTCAGATTATATGGTTTCCCAAGTATTCAAGACAAGCAGAATGACTGACTTCAAAGAAGCAGCAAAATGACATATAACGTCTCGGAAGTTTACAACTGTCATAAACGGTGGGATTCAGTCTTTTCTCAAAGAAAAGTTTGCATTACAGAAAACTAGAGGCCCAACAACAATTAACCCAGCCAATAAGTGGGGGGGGGAGATAAAACTTCCCCCCAAAGAAGATACCTGTCAGAGAGTGCACAAGTTCAGATGTCTCTACATCATACAAGTTGGCTGTCCTGTCCCATGAAGCGGTCACTGCTTGCTTCCCTCCAACCAGCCAATCAGCTGCTATGACAACACCCTGATGGCTTTTTAGGGAAGTCAAAGGAACTCGGATGGTGGGACAATCACTGGAACCATCTCCATCTCCGTCTGGTTCATCTTTATCAGAGAACTCAACTTCATCTTCACCGGACATTTGCTGTTAATGTTGAAAATATTTAATTTGCACGAAATTTGTCACGTTGGTCCAATTAATTCTAGACATCAAAAATATATGTGCAAAACACAAAGGTCTCTAAAGAGAAAAGGAAGAGCTAAAGAGCTTGAGATATTATGAGATATCAAAAGACAAACTGTTGAAGACTCAAAGAGACATGAATTTAATAAGAATAGGGTGTATAAGTACTTGGGGAACAGAAAACACAGAAAGGAATGTTTATTTTTGGATGAATTTTGCAAACAAAATACTATTTCATGTACCTATTATTTGCTACTGGGATGCTATCCTTCAAATTCTAAACTACTTTGGTCCTTTGGGACATCTGAAGTAAATGAATAAAAACATTATTTTTCCTAAATAATTCCAAGGAGATTTTCTTTAAAGCATTTATAAAGCTTTGATTATTCAACATGCCACCCTATAGTCATGCTCTAAATTTGCATGGCAATTGGCACATTTAGCACTGTTTCAAGGAAACTGATTGTGGGGTCAACTCTCCCGAGAAACAATATAATTGCAGTAAATATTAAAGGTGTGATTTCATAATTTTATGAAATGTCACATATTAGTTAGCTTCCACTAATGCTAGGTTAGTCATGATTCCAGAACTTTATGGCCCACATGTTACCAGACTGCTATTTGTTAAAGAAGGCATTCAACAACACCCCAATGATATAAATGAACAAAAATGTAAAAACAGTGCATTTTCTCCAATACTAATTTCCATCTACAGAGATAAACACTACTTTAAGAACCCCAAAAGTCATATTAGAAATCATAACTTACATTGCAGTCTGTGGTAGGTTGAGGGGTGGGCAATTGCACTATATATCGCCAAATATGAGCTGTCTGATCTCCTGAAGCTGTAGAATAAGTTAATTGTCTGTGAACAGCTATTTTGATTTTAATTCTCCAAAGCAGGAAAGAAGTAGAAACAAGCAATATGCATAAGTGATCTTCCCTCTTTCCTAACTGCTTTCTTTTCTAATATATAAGCCCTCTTAAATTATTACAATGTACACACAGGCTAGTCTCTAAAGTCATCCTGCAGGCTTTTCCAATCTGGAAATATAAATATTAAGCACACAGAACTAACTTCTCCTCTCGTTCATTGAAAGAACACTGAAATGGATTTTTCACAATACCAAAATCTCAGGTGCACTCTAAACCTATTCTCACTTAATCTGAAATAAATTAGGAGGCACATTTTTTCTCAAGTATTGAGTGAACATAATTTGGCAGGATAAACACTATTTACATACCTGTAAGAGACACCTGTTCTGTTGGATGAAACTTTATGGAATTTACTGAATTAAAGAAAAAAACAAACACATGTTAGATGAACAAATTTAGAAGAATACCTAATTTCTAGTTTGAACTAGATTTCTCTACTGTTGAACAGGAAAAGCTAGGTTTAAAGAAAATCAAGAATAAAAATATTTTTGGAAGAGGGAATTTCTAATATCAAAACAGAAACATAATAACTGAGAGAAAAACAGATTTTATAGGGCATTGATGAACAAAATCTCTCAACAGAAGGAATAGTTTACCCGACTCATGAAAAGCTAGTCCATAAACACTGTAATATAGGTTCCTGGGGAAATTATTCCATGCATAAGAACATCAGACAAGAACTAGCTGTGGGATTGAGTACATTAGGGATCACCTTTAGACTTGATCTTTATCAATAAGCTTTTTACATGAATACTTTAAAAACTATTATTTGTCCTTGTTTGGAACAATAAGCTTTTTACATGAATATTTTAAAAACTGATATTTCCCCTTCTATTTGAAATGATGCATGACAGAATTCTACCATCTAGTTTTTATAATGTGATGAAGATTTTTTTAAAGACAGATCTTATCTTCTTAATAACTCTCACATCTGAATGGTAGCAAACTACTTATTTTTCATGCTTACTGAAATGGGACACCCAGAGAAGGGTACAAAGAATGGATAAGGCCCTGCTGGCTCCCACAAAGAGGTTCTTAAATTCTCCACCCAAACCCCTACTGCACACTTACCACAAATTCCAAGAGTCAACTTTTCTTACTCAATATATATGCCATTATAACAGAAAAGTTTCCGTGATTCTTATTCACCAATAGTTATTTATTCTTACCTGATCCAGCATGTCCAACATATTTGACAAGACACTTTCCTGTCTCTATGCTCCAGAGTAAAGCAGTATGATCTGTGAGAATTAAAAAAAAAACAATTGAAGAATTAAAAGGATGGATGGATGGATGGATGGATGGATGGATGGATGGATGGATGTGGGTAGATAGGTGGATAGACAAATGGTCAGATAGATAGAGAGAGAAAGAGAGAGAGAGAGAGAGAGAGAGAGAGAGAGAGAGGGAGAGATGGATAGACGGACGGACGGACAGATAGATAGATAGATAGATAATATGGGAATGAAGCTTAGACCATAATCTGTTCTAACCTAATGATTAGAAATGAAAAATACAATCTGTGGCTGAAACAATAAATAAGATTATTACCAGCTGATGCTGTCCCCAGCACCACAGGCTGAGTTTTTGTGACACTGACATCCCAAATGCCATCTCGATGACCAATATACTCTTTCACTAGCTGACATATTGCTCTGGATGTTGTTGTTTTGAAACTGGAGACTATCTAAGGAGACAAAAGGCAGGTATCTGATAGGTAGAGAAATTACCCCAAACTCTTGCAAACACACAACATATGAACCATTGAAGCACTGCACTATAGCCAAATCAACGGATGCATAAGCTTTAGCATATTCTCTGGAACCAAATTTGTCCTGAATGAAGCTAGGATGCTGTTCTATGTAGGTACCAACAGACGAATTTGGCCAGATTGAATCTTTTTAGGATATCATAAAAGCATACAACTCTTCTGATATTTTTTTCATATCTTGTGATAATATATGTGTATATAATCTGCAGAGCACTTCTCTTTTTCTTCTATAATACGTTGTATGCACCATACAAGCTAACTTATTAAATAGAGCTAGCTCAAATGGGTTAGGAGGGATGAATGGAAAAGATGCGTAAAAATTCAAAGCTCAGAGCCATATGAAATGGTATTCATATTAACTTGGAAGTCAGACCAATTCCTTTTGTATGACAATGGGATGTTGTTTTCAAGAACCAGTACAAAAATAATGTAATCAAAATTTTAAAATAATAAGAGAAACATGAAAGCAAGAATGACTTATTTTACTATCTTTAGATGAAGAAATGTATTAGGTGCATGGAAGAAAACACCTTCAAATCGGAACCGCTATATTTTTTTAAAAAAAACAGCACGGAAAAGCAAGCAGCAGTTCACACTCTTAAGTGACTCAGCCTATCAGTTTACTAGATTAGGTAAGTGGCTGAGTCACTGGACTGGAAGAAATAAATCAGTAATATTTGCTGGCTAGAGCATACTAACTTAATATGAGGTATACTAGTGTGGCCATCCAAAGTAATTTTTATGCAATAATTGGGTTGTCTTTAATGGGTAGAAAGGGCGATCCATGAGTGATGCAGCAGCATAATGAGAAGGAATGAAGAACTACCAGTCAGTAGGGCTTCAAGCAAGGTCTCACCCTCAGGTTCCACCTGCTCAGTCCTACTAGGAGCAACTGCAAAAATGGTTTGAGGCTCAGAACACCCTACATCAGGTATGGTCACCACTGTAATCAATCCATCTGGAGGACGTGGAAGAATTTCCCATTTCAGCCACTCAACATCCCTCATCAGAAAAAGGCACAAAGTGGTCAAAGTCTCATTCTATCCATGGCAGAGTGGAGAAAACTAGTTCTGTGCTTGGTCTTCCAATAGCTGCCTTTGTCTTTGTAAGTTAACAAACAGCACCAGCGGCCTTATTCTATACAATTTTTTTTCTTCTTTTTGACCCTGATGTGTAATATTCTCCAATTCAGATAAATAGATTGGGAATAGAGCTAACTTTTATATCAGATATACACCTTCATTATTTAGTGTTTGGACAGAAATCATATCAGAACTTTGCTATATCATTTATATGATTTATGCTAAAATCTGTAGCATCTCAACCACATTCTTCAACACTAAATTGTCCTGCCTTCTCAAGGCCATTGTTAAACTTTTATACTAGCTTTATGCCATCTGAGCATGAAGCCCAAATCTATATTTTGAAATATAGGTAAAATTTCCTAAGGCTTTTTGCCAAGCATTGGGGTCAGGGAATAGTATAAAACCAATGGGTCATAATTCATTTCTGTTGTACTGGTTTTAATGGCACTATGTTAAGTATCACTAAGCTGGATCTAGCAGACTTCATGGTAAACTGAGGTATGTGGCTGTCTAATATGACACAATATTCATGTTATTGTGAAATATAGAATTCTAAGAGCATTTCAAAGCAGTGAAAGATTACAATTGGATACCTTTGCCACAGTAAATGACTAGGTATATATTGTAGGCAATTTTTATTTTAAAAAGATATAAAAATTCTAAAATCATCCTAAAAATGAGAATCAACTAGATAGTTTTTTTTTAAAAAAAAAGCCTAATTAAACCAAAATGAGATTAAATTAATAATTAAATTTTAAAAGGTATAATCTGGTCATCAAAGATATCAAAACATCTATCAAATTTTGTTATTGAAAATATTCTTAGGAATGTTCAGTGATTAAAAAAATAAAATAAGACATATATGTTCAATTAAAATTTTAGGAGAAAAAAATTTAAGGACTAGAAAAAGCTGCAACAATATAGTTTTCAGCTTTTACCTCTTTACAGTAATGAAATGAGACCTAGATGGAACCATAATTTAGTAGTTAATGAGAAGAATTGTTTCCAAGCCAGTATAAGCAATAATTACTACAGATGCACTGCAAAAGGAACAGGTTAATTCTTGCAGAACTAGGAAGGGATTAGTATTTGAACCATAGTGTAGCATTAAGCATAAAACTGTCAAGGCAGTATTAAAATTCAATTGAAATTTAATACACATCTTCAAACAAAATGGAGTTATGTAAGAGTAGTGGAACAGTAGAATATATTATCACAATAGGTCTTACATACCTTATCAGTCTTAATTAGACATAGTGAGGAATAAAATGAATTACCAAACTGTTTTAGTTTCCTCAAAAAATCTTCTGTACCCCTGTAATTATCTGGTTTAATTTTCAGGGACTACAGTGTTTTCCCCTCTTCCCTTAAAATATCATCTTTAATGCCATTTCATATTTTGAGTTTCCTTTTACTTTTAAAACAATAATGGAAGTGTTCTTTCAAAGATCACAAACACCAACAGGACAACATCAAAACTTTCTGCTCTATTTCAAAATATGAACAAAGGGGCCAGCCACTGTCTCAGTACAATGGTCACCAAGTTAGGCTCAGCAAACAGAGCCAGGAAATTATGCTAACATGCACATTAAATCACTACTATTAAAATTTCCACTTCAATTCTTAGCTTATGTTCATAAACAAGCATTTAGAAATTCCTCATTTTACACTACTATAAAATGAGTTTTTTTAAATTTCTCTTTTGAAAAATGTGATTTAAATTTGAGGAACTCTAATCATGTGACAGTAAAGTCAAGGAGATGCTGTTCAACCAGTTGCACATTCTGTTGATTAACCTGAACTAAGTAAACAAATTTAAGAGCAGTACATATCCTACTGTGCACAGAAGACAAAACCAGACTGTTTCCTGGCTAGCAAATGAGACAGTTTCCCCTTCAAATGCTCAGTTTTCAAATGCAAATTCACTATACTTTCTTATAATAATCATCCTGCTCACAATTTCAGTCTGTCAAGTTAATGCAAGAAGAACTTGTACTGTAGATTACCATTACTTGGGCTTTCATTTAATGATTCATGTGTCTTTTCATCACAACCATATAAGGCACTTAAAGGAAGACAAATTTACATTCACAAAATGTTAAAAATTTCATTCAAAGAACTTCCAAGAAGAAGGGCAGGCAACCTTTTGGTAACTGAAGGTTAGACTTTTTCATTATCATTATTTATTTTGAGACAGTGAAAGGGGCGTTGGTCTTACCTGAACGCCTTTTCTCAGTACGGAGATGGATAATCCACGGATGGGTTTTCTCTGTCTGCCTGCTCTTGAGACCAAGTAGCCAAAGCTTGACACGCCCCCACTTCCTGTGGAGTCCATTCTTAACGAGGGCGAATTGGCTGATGATTGACGAGGTATTGGCTCTCAGCTCCCTACTAGCGGCCTGCTGGCCTTGGGGTGGGTGTGGATTATCCATCTCCGTACTGAGAAAAGGCGTTCAGGTAAGACCAACGCCCCTTCTCCAGTACAGGAGATGGATAATCCACGGATGGGACGTACCAAAGCCTCACTGTCCCAAGGGGTGGGAAACAGATAAGGCCGGTAGATTGATCTCTGAGACAACTTGCTGGAGGACCCTCCTACCAAAGGAGGCGTCCGCCGATGCAAAGCGGTCTATCTTGTAGTGTCGTATAAACGGGGAAGGCGAGGACCATGTCACGGCCCTGCAAACTTCCTCGATTGACGCCTGGGTAGCCCATGCCGCCGAAGTTGCAGCGCTTCGGGTGGAATGGGCCGTGAGATGACTTGGGGGCGGCAGGGATGATACATTGTAAGCTTCTGTGATACAGCTTCGGATCCACCTTCCAATGGTGCCCGCGGAAACTTTCCGCCCCAAGGTGCCCGCTTGGAAGGACACAAATAGGGCCTCCGATTTGCGGAAGGGTTCTGTACGCTTTATATAATGCCGCAAGGCTCTGCGGACATCCAATGTATGCCACTGCCGCTCCCGGTCATGTGTTGGATTTGGACAGAAGTTTGGGAGAATTACTTCCTGTGTCCTGTGAAAGAGTGAATTCACCTTCGGTATGAAGGCAGGATCTAACCTAAGGACCACCCTGTCCTTGTGGAAAATGCATAGGTCGTTTCTGACTGACAGTGCGGCCAGTTCCGAAATTCGTCTGGCCGATGTGATGGCAATCAGGAACGCCACCTTTAGCGACAGGTGTCGCAAGGAAACGGTCGCCAATGGTTCAAATGGTGACCGAGTGAGTGCGTGAAGGACTCGCGGTAGTTCCCAGGACGGGTACCTGTGAATTACTGGAGGTCTGGTGTTATAGGTGCCCTTGATAAAGGCGCGGATCCTGGGGTGGTGAGCTAAGGGAACCGAATCCGTGCAGGTGAGGAGGGTGGACAAGGCCGCCACTTGCCTGCGGATGGTCGCGGGGGCGAGGCCTCTGTCTAGTCCCTCCAAGAGGTAATCTACTATCTGAGGGATGTAGAGTTTGTGTAAGTCAAACTGCCGTTCCCTGCACCAAAGGCAAAAATTTTTCCAAGTGGAGTCATAAATGCGGTTTGTTGCCGGACGGCGTGAAGCTTGAATTATGGTAATGGCCCCAGGAGAGAATAGTTCCTGTGCCATTATCTGGCGCTCAAGTGCCAGGCGGTCAGTTGTAACCATTGGGGTTCCGGGTGACTGATGGTTCCCTGGTGTAGGGACACTTGATGAGGGGGAATGTTCCATGGGGGCGACTGAGACAGGTTCATCAGGTCGGCGAACCACGGTCTCTGTGGCCAATATGGTGCTACTAGGATCACTTCTGCCCGCTCCTGAATCAGCTTTCGGATGACCGCCGGTATGAGTGGTAGTGGGGGAA